CTAGACCGGAGATATGTCATTATGACCGCATAAAATGGCCTAAAGTTAAGCAATAAAAATACAAATGTTTTTTTTTCAGGTACAGCGTGTTCCACAAATCTCGAACCACAGACAACACAATATGTAAGGCTGGACTGTAACTTGGTGCAATGTGATCACATCACAAGCAATTCAAGCCGTTTTCGTAGACTGGAAGAAGCATTTGCGTCGAAGTGAACTGTGTGTATATTGTGCACATTTTATGAGAGGTGTCTGAAAACTGCAATATTGTCTGTGGTTCCAGACTTATGGGACACACTGTATAACAACCGCAATAACGTGATGTAGTCGTAAAATTTTAGAATCAGAACACAATCATTACTTTTCCCTTGTGCATTATTTGCATCAAACGTATAAAATGAACGTATAATGGAGAAGTCACGTCGTGTTGTCTGTGTTTAGTCTTTCTGAATTACTCGATACACTTCTGTGGGATCTGGCTAGGGAAGTGTTACGAAAGCCGTTGTATACCTGAAATTTGCATGAGTTTCAAACAGATTTTTTTTTTCGAAATAGCTTGTTCTAGAACGGTACACTGCATCTGTGTGCATACAGTGTGATATCTACAGCGCAAGATTTTATCTGTATCACATTAACACCAAGGTCAAAAAGGGTGTGCGAAGTACAAAGAACGCGATGGGAAAATGTATTTCTGCACCGGAGTACACGTTTCCACTTCTGTAAATCAGTGCTGCGTGAATTCAAAACGAATATTAGCCTCAATTCTGAAGACTACCATCTTCTGGGATGTGATGCAGTACAGTCCGGTAGAAGTTAATCGACGTTTCGAAGGCTCGTACTGATTATATCTTCAGGACAGAAAATATACCAAGAAACGAGAAATAAGCAGCAGGCTATACTCTTCACATACACCGCTGTGATAACCTTAAAATCAGGAAAATTTCAATCCTGTTCCTCAAATCTGACCATCATAAAAGGCGTAATTTTTTTAGTTACGCCCTAATTTATGTTTATTTAGGCAATGAGGAAAACAACAGTGTCTCTCAAAGCCTTACAGAAGGGACAAACAGTTGACTCAACACCTCGCCAAGAAGACGTATAGAGGTAATGGAGCTACATTTCCACGGATTCATAACCTCGCCACTAGGAGGTTTCAGCCTGACGCCACGATTATTTTACCTCCAGCTGTGGAGCCCCAAGAGGGGCACGCGGTAGCGTAGTTGGTTGAAGCACTATGCTACAAGCCGGAAGGTCGCGGGTTCAAGTCCCGATGAGGTCATTGAATTTTTTTCAATTGATCTAATCCTTCCAGCCGCACTATGACGCTAAGGTCGACTCAGCCTCTAACAGAAATGAGTACCAGGAATATTCTTGGGGGTAAAGGGCGGCCGGCGCATAAGGCTTACAACCTTACCGCCATCTGTGAGCCGATTGTCTATAAAATGTGGGAGCCTCGAGGTCTCACAATCCTATGGGCCTCCTAGCCTGTTACAGGGCCACTTACTTTACTTTACGGACCCCAAGGAACATTTTGGATAGGCAGCTGGGTCTGTGTATAGGAAAGAACTGGCCAGTTCACATTTACTTCAACTACCATCAAGGTCAATGCATCAACGTACCTCGCCAAACAAATAAAATCAGGCTGCATTACGTCTGGCCTACAATAATACATCTATAAATCAGTCAAGGTGCGTAGGCAGTGGTTATAGTGCCAGATGTGACACACAAATACAGACCGTGGCACTGGATGTGCATCATGCGCTCATTATCCATATCATTAAGGCAGAATATCTGCATATTGTAGCATCTAGACCTATTGTTAAGTAATGAATCTATAAACAACGTCCGCTGCTAGGCAACGACCGCAGAATAAGCAGATATAAGGCATCCGTTACTCAGTAACGGCTTCGCAAACATGTTCCCACGGCAAAAATTGAACTACAACGAGGAGCGGTGTTTTCTACGCGGCCCGTTGCGGGTCGAGGCGTAAACAAAGCAACCTCCAAGCACAAATTTGCTTGTTTTTCAACCCTGAAGATGCAGGTAGTCCATCCTCGTGAACTTAAGCAAACTTCTACCGAAGACAACAGTGTTCGTAGCCACTGTCATGAGAAACTAAAAGAAAAAGCTTTGCTTTACAAGATCTTGATGCAGACCCATAAAAAGGTAAAGCTGTCACCGTGCTTAACTAATTAAGCACTACGTCATGATGGCGTATAGGGGAGTTGATGTATAGATGCACATTTACTTTATCCCCGGGGAAAAGAGCCACCGGTACTCATTGGATAGGAGGCTGGGTTGACCCTAGAGCCAGTCTGGACGTGGAGAAAATTCTTGACCCTACCGGGACTCGAACTCCAACCCCTCGCTCGTCCATATCGTAGCCAGTCGTTATCCCGGCTCCCTATACAGACCAATAACTTAACCAAAAGGATTCAGCATTCAGGTTACTGTATTCTTTTTTGCTTATGTTNTCAGAAATGTCTTGTTTCTATTCACAATGATTCTACTTTCACTTAGGGCATTAAATTGGAGCTTTTACATTAGTAGAAAAAACAAGAGTCCGGTTCATTTATGGATTCTACTGAGCTTTGAATGCACTGGAAACTTGGTAGTGCCCAGTCCAATAAACTTCCTTCCCAATTGCTGACAGATTTGTAAGAAAAGATCGAGTGTACAGTGATACTTCGCGAACACATGAACATCAGTCACTGTATGTAGCCAATAAGACTTACCCCAGGCTCTGACACGATCTCTGTGTAGTGCGTAAACTATAAGGTAAAGCTGGGTACAGCCAAACAGAGACATAATAGCTAATCTCAGTTCTAGTGGCGTGTTAATATATCCCTAAATGTCATGTTAATTAACCCTCAATATTTACACCTCGCGCCACTAGTTGCGCTAGTGAGGAGAAGCGTACAGTGTGGTGGAGGTGCCAATTACGGACCACACAATGTGTCCTGCACACGGACACGCTACGTCTTTCTGTTCGTTTCCACGACTCCGCCCAAGAACGTGGATTACACCAACAGATCTATAGCTACACTGTCACCATCTTTCCTTTCACTCCGATACCTGAGCTCATGGTCTTCCTTTCCTCCATTCCTGTTTTCGCTCACTTCTCGCGCAGATCAGAGGACACCAAAGAATAACCGGTCTATGTATGGATATTTCATTAGTTCGAATGGGGACTAAATTTTGGATCGTGAAGCCAAGAAACCTAACCGTTACCCCGGAAAGAGAAATGAAATGGTGGCACACGGATAAGAATGTTGCTATTCACAATAAAATTAACTGCTCTCGTGGCTTAGGCGGATAATTGCCGGCTTCCTACCGTGGTGGCTCGGGTTCGATCCCAGGTTGTCATGTGGGATTTGTGGTGGATAAAATGGAACTGGGGGCACGTATTCTCTGAGTACTTCTCATTCCACCGAATGACCTATATTCATCTACAATCCGTGACTGGTACAGTAGGTTCACCAACGGCCAGTGTACCAAGTGGACTCAGTCTCAACATACTCCAAGAACAATAAAAGAAACACGAGAATTTACAGTGTTATTGATGTATGCAAAACTTTTTAAAGCTTTTGTTTGATTCAGTGTAGGCCCGTTAACAACGTAAGTGATATAAAATACCACTAGTGTTCTACCTTCTGTACACTTAACCATTTACCTCGCATCCCCTAAAGGTCACGATGGAGGTCTGTCGCCTTGCCCTAAAAATTGTAAGTTCATCCGCTTCCACCTAGTCCAATGATCACTGATTCATTGTCCACAAGAGCATAGCACAGTTCTTGTCCCATGGTGGTAGAAAACTGCAATGACAGCACCAGTATCTTTCTGCTTTCCGCTCAGTGCCGTAAATTTGAACTTCATTTCCATGATGATGCAAGCTTCCTGCACATGATGAGGATTCCAAACATTTCTCGCGTGGAGTTGGCCCAGATGTGCCCACTGGACTCCTTACCATATCACGACGCGAGAGAGCAAACCGGACAGCCCAGTTTCCATGGCAGCAGCCGGTATATGCCAATGGGGGCCATGCCAGCTTACAGCCCGTGGCTATGATCTTTCAGAGATGGTACGACTAGAACTGGCTTGTTGATTTCAGCTCGTTTGTTCCGCAGAGGCCATGATAGGTTGTCCGTTCATTTGGTTTCTACGTAATCAGTACTATGACATAGACTAATATAAATGTACAGACAAGTTGAACGAATTTTATTTTGTAACAATAATTTGTTGGACAGAATTACTTGGTTTTTGGACTTTTTCCATCGTCCGGAATTCTAGGTAATAGAAGACACGACGTTTCGGAAACTGGATCTGTTTCCGTCTTCAGGTGAGGAAGAAAGATACCTACTCAGTTGGGCCTGTTAGAAAGAGCTAATCACAATCACTGGACTAAGATTAGCTGTTTCTAACGGGCCCAACTGAGTACTTGTCTTCCTCCCCTCACCTGAAGACGGAAACAAATCCAGTTTCCGAAACGTTGTGTCTTCTATTATCTAGAATTCCGTACGATGGAAAAAGTCCAAAAACCTAGTAATTCTGTGTGTCATCCACCATCGTCAGAACCCTTTAGAACCAATAATTTGTTAGATTTGCATAATGAGGAGCTTCATAACTTGTACTCTTCGCCAAGTATAATTAGAATGACCAAGTCAAGGATGATGACATGGGCAAGGCA